GCCAAGTTCAGGAGTCAGCGAGGCTTACGCCGCATTCCCCTTCCCCAGAACGGCGCTGTGCCAAAGGAAATGAGGAACATCCTCGGAGTTCATGGAGCTGGACCGTTCCCTGGTGAGCAGGTGAGTTCACGCTCCCCACACAGGGCCCTCAATGTCGGGACACCGTGGACAGAAATGCAGGGAACCTCGGGCGTCGTGGACAGGACCCAGTGCTCCCCTAGCTCAACACCAGAGCAGTAAGAACGGACACAGTCTCCGTGCCAGGCCAGGTGAAATGCAGACACGGGGGTGGAATCTGGATCCCAGAACGGCGATGTGCTTCCATCAACCCGGAGTGTACAGAGCAAACCCCGTGGGGAAGCCCGCTGCTCTGCTTCCAGACTGATGGGCACTGTGGACCTCCCCCAGCCAGCCCCCAACCCCATTCCATCAGAGGACTCGTAGTAGTATTTACATGCACAGTTAGCAGAGACAAGGAAATGCTAACTGCAAATGCCAAGCCAAACTTTATTTCAGGATAAAACCTACCCAGTCAGCAAGGCATACTTAACATTCCCCTTCCCAAGAAATGGCACCAAGGTTAAAGTAAATACATAGATATTCTGGGGAAATTCATGACACTGGGTCCCACTTTCGCCTATGAGCAGGAGGCTAGTTCCCAACACACAGGTGTTAGACTGACAGTAGTCCCCCAGAGTAAAGCCAAGTTTAGTTGTAGGGAGAGGACAGGTGGATGCAAAATTAGCTGTAGCAAAGCATCTGCTTTGCGCCCTCAAAAAGTTAAAGAATTCACAATAGAAATCATCAACGATATCGTAAGGAAAACGGAAATGAAGAGAAATCATCCAACTACAGAAGTCACTCGAATCTGAGCAAGGAGCTGGGGTTTCAGTGGAATCAGAACCAGCACCGCATGGGCTGCGCTGCCCAGGGTCCTGTGGGTGACGCGGGACATCTCAGGAGGCTCCAGATTGCAGAGTGAAAGAGCAGGAGACGAAGGTGGGTGGGGGGACCTGGCGATCTCGGAGAGAACAAAACACACAGCACAGAACCGATGCCTCGAGAAACAAACAAAAATAGCCTGAACTAAAAACAGACTTTGCAAATGATTGCCGATGTTCATCACGTGCCAGGCTAAGTTAACAATGGTTAAAATGTTCACATATTACATAGAAAAATAAGATTTCCTAGAGCAAATGCTGGAGTTCTAGAAATATTCAAAAATTCAAAAAGCAACATTTATAAAGAAGAAGTCAGAATGTGATGGGACATATTCTCAGTAATTTGAGGGGAAAAGACCACACTCAAGAATGCCAGACCAGGCTGCATTTGGCATATCCGAGCAACGGGCACTTGGGATACTCCCTTAGATGTTTCTTCTCCCTTTTCTCATTAGAAAACTTTGTGATTTAGAAGCTGGCACCACTTTAACTCAACATCACCAGAAACAGTAATAATGAAAGAAATAATAGTGCGATGAGATGGAAACAGATGACAGATAACAGTGGTGTCAATGCACCCTGGCCCCTCCCAGACCGGGCTCCTTCCTTTCCTCATTCAGTTCTGGCCCGATGACCTCCAGGCGGTGCACACTGCTGTCTCAGGGCCTTTGCACTTGCTGTCCATCTGCTGGAAATGCTCTTTCCCCAGGTCTCAGCATGGCTCACTGCTTTGCTTCCCGTAGCTCTTTCCTCCATCACCTCCCTGGTGACCACTTACGCAAAGGGGCATAAAAACACGACTTGGAAAAATTATCCCAATTTGTGGCTTTAAAACAGAGAAATACATGTTAGATCACAGAGTCCGATTCAGATTTATCTCAAAAGATTGCCGTGGGTCCAAACAAGACCAAACAGAGTTTAAATAAATGTAAAGTAACCTGTACCACAGAGAAACTTATAAAACAAGATCTGCAGATGAAGTTTTCCTGGCTCTCCCCCGACTTCGCTGGCCTCTCCTTACTCTCCACCGTGACCTTCCCACATCTTCACCACAGTGTGAACTGTCCAGGGTTGGTGCTCAGGCCTCTCTCCCTGTGGACAAACTCCTATGCAATGCCATTCAGCCCACGGTGTTCGATACTTGCCTATATGCTACAGACCCCCAAACACACACATCTCTCTAGCTAGGAACTTTCCTCTTAGTTTGACAATATGCTCCTTTGCTTTCTAAATATTTCCAGCTTGATGTCTGAACACCCAAATTTAACATGTTCAAACTAGCTTACTGACTCCCCACCCTGTCCCGGCATCATGGCAAGACCTGGAAGGAGGAACTTTATTCCGCCAGGTTCTCAGACCAAAAACGCTGGAGCTGTTACTGATTCTCTCATCCCATGCCCCACACACCCCAGAAGCAGATCCCACCAGCTCTTCCTCCCCAGTATGCCCGACCTCTGAGGACCCTTCACCTGTGACAGCCCTGACCTCAGCCATCAGCAGCACTGCCTGCATGCAGAGACCATGGCGGGCCCGTCCCCAGCCCCCCTTCCTGTGCACCCCCCGTTCAGCAGCTGAGGCAGCTCTCCCTGCACATGAGACATGACACTTCCCCTCAGTCTACCCAGCGGCTACCAATTACCTTCACACCCTAACCCAAAGCCTGCGCAGAGAACTACAAGGCCCTTCTTCCGTTCCTGCCTCCCTTGCTCCAAGCTCCCCCGGGCTCCTCACTCTGCCCACTCCGCCCGCCACACTGGCACCTCCGCCTGGAGGGTCTCTTTCTCTCTTCAGGTCCCCACTGCAGGTCAGCCCCTCAGATACCCCGTGACCCCATGTCTGTGCAGTGAGCAGAAAGTCCCTTCCCAACCCACTTCGCTCTGTATCCCTTTATTCTACTAGGTTCTTCCATGTATTTGTCTTAATACTTATCACTGCACATATACAGATGTTTTCAACTGCCTCTGCCACCTGCCTCCATGCTGTGCGAACCAGCATACTATGGCTACAGTGTCCCCAGCACTCAGGACACAAATGCTCGATGGTGCCACTGAGCGCAGGCAGGTGGAAGACGGGGATGAGGAAAGGAGGAAGAGAGGAGAAGAGGCAGGGGTGTCAGTTTAGAGTTCTGAGTTGACTTCATGTAAAAACAATCTTGGTTTACTAAAATATCAATAACCAGAAGTGACCTGCAGTTTCTTTAAAAAGCTAATTCACCCTAAAACCGTGTCACGGGTACAGAGTTCCAGGGCTCTCTGCCACCTCCTCTTGTCAGGGTCAAGACACGGTCATCTGTGAGGCCTTGTCACCGCCGCTGCCTTCTAAACGGGCACTGGGGACAGGTCCTGCAGCTGGAGCACATCAGCCTGGACCCTATGGAGCCGGACAGGAAAAGGTCTCTGGAAGTGAGTGCTTCGCTGGGAAAGAGCATGCACCCCTCTATTCAGAGTTCTCACAGGGGACAAGGGGTAGAGGCTCGTTTGCATTGCAAGGGAAGTCAAAGCTGTGCTAATGTGTGACAGTTAAGGAGAGGGCCGCTCAGCAGTGTCTTGGGGCAATATGCAGACTAGAATACACAAAATGCAGTCAAGAAAAAGCCTGCTCTTGGCCCATACCACGGTTCTCCCCAAACAGAACCCACCCGCTGGCATTCAGAGTGGGCTCCCATAACAAAGCCCCTAGGACACTCCGGTACCACAGCTTTCCGTGCGGGGACACTGGCAGTGAAGGGAGAGCGGAGCAAGCTTTCAGAATCGAACCCTAACCTTTGTCATCACAGGCTAGGATGTGAGGAAAGTACCCGGATGGCGTGACCCACCCTCAGGCATCCCTTCACCACCTCCCTCCAGGACAAGAAGTCTAACATCCCCTGGGCGGCACAGGTAAAGTGAAGCCAGGCTGGTTCTCACACCGGGTGTGTGTGGGGAAGCTGCACGTCTACGGCCATGAGGTGTGGACGCACGGCTTGCACAGACACGACGGCAGCGTGGCTAGTATGAGCGCCCGGGACCTTGGGACTCAGCCCAAGTTCATCTGCGAGAATCCCCTTTGTATCCTTACGCATCACACTGCAGCCTTTCCGGCTGCGGAAGCTGCAGAAATTCCAGGCCGACCTCTCCAGCCCTGCCACCACATGAAGCACCCACACGGGGCACTTCCCGGCTATGAGCCGTCAGTGGGACCTCACGGTGACAGTGCCCAGGAAACCCTGAGGCTCACGGAAACCTAAGAGTCTGCCAGGGAGGAGGAGACTGTGCCCAGACGCCAGCAAAGACCCTGATCACTGTGAGACTCCTGTCTCCAGATGACCAAAGATACAGGACTGTCTGCACACAGGATCACACAACAGCACTGTAGGGCGTTTATGAGAGTGAGTGAGTGGTGTCTCTCACATAAGGTTGCATTAGATGCAACTCAAACAGACTATTTTCAATATTTAATTCACTCTGAAGATCGGTGTGCAGGAGAGACAATTAAGAAACTTCCCTACATAATCAATTATAAAGTTGGAATATTAAAACAATGCTAAACTCTGAGTTGCTCTGTCTCTTCAAGTACACCCTAAGGATCTCTCTTGGACATGAAAACGTTCCCTTAACATTTCACAAATCCTGAGGAAGCTCGTGCCTCCAATGTGTGAGAGTCCGGCCAAGGTCATGGACTCAAGGTGGGGGTCATCCAGGCCACACATGACAAAGCCACTGAGTGCAGGGCCACGGCGAGGGTGGCTTCTGCTCCATGGCCTAAGTGGCAGCTGCCACTTGAAAATGCTATGCTGGTGTTGCCTTCACTATGGTTTTCTAACGGAAGCTAAAAATCTGATCGTGACACGCAGTCTCGCAGTGTCCATGTGTTGGCACCTGGTTCGGAAGCCCCATCAGCAGGCACAAAGTGCCTGGCAGCTGTGCTCCGTCTCGAGGCCCCACATCGCAACCTCGCCCTGCTGACTTTATTCCGTATAATGAGTGACCCGCGGAGGGCACTCATCTTTGTCACTAGCACTGGGAACACAGGACTGAGTGCCTCTCCAGCGGTAGTATCAACCCCATTCCCAGTACTTACCCTGCTGACTTCCTTAGGAGCCGACTCATCTGGGGGAGAGAAGGAGGGAAAAACACAATTAGAACTCACTCTGCAGAGGGTCTGGAACAGACAACACGTCGTTCACACTCAACAAACTCGGAGGCTTCTTTGCAACGCTTCTGCTTATGAAACCTAAGAATCTGATTTTTAAAATATGCAGATTAAACATAATACAGTTAGAGCTGGCTGCACATATTTATTTCAGAGGGACATGAAATAACACAACTTGCTAGTCATTTCAAGATTGCCTACAGCATGGCCACGCCTGCAAACATGGCTACTCCTTGGGTCATCCAAACACACGTGCAGAAAAAGGTCCGAAACATTCGCAATATACTACATAATACACCTATGCGAACATCTCAAGTGCTCATCCTTGCCTGGAATGTGAGGGCTAATTCCTGCTTGGCACCCAGGGCAAGGCATGAAAGGCTCTCCCTGTGAGGCTGGCTATATGGCAAGAATATATTTGTGTGACCAGCAGGGTACAAGAAACAAACTGGCCGAAATTCCACTTGAGGCCCACTGGTTCTAAGTATCCCGTGCCCAGGTCACTGGTTCTGAGCCAAAGAAAGTCTGTGTGGCTTCCCAGACCCTCCCTGGAGGCAGCCTTCATTTATACTGCTGTTGCTGTGTCTGGTGTCGCATCAACCCTGTCCAAGGCCACCATCGGTGCACACTTCTCACCCCAAACCCCAGCGCACTCCGGTATTCCAGTGCACAGCCTGATGTACCTAGACACTGCTGTCCACATTCACAGGGTAAGTTCTCCTTTCTCCTTTAATAGCCTTAATAACTAAACCACTGAAGGCTGCTGGTTCCTGTTTTCTCTAATCTTTCTCCAATTTACTGCTTACCATCCATTTCCACGAATAATACCAAGTTTAGTCCCAAATCACATACCAACCAGTAGCCTCCAAGCTGGTCCCTGAATCCAGTACCTGCCCTGGCAATCATGCACACATACACTCACACAAACATGCACATAAGCATGCACACACACTCAAACACACACACATGGACACACAAGTGCACACACACACACAAATGTGCACACAAGCACACACACATGCTCATATGCACATACAGTCACACACACAAATGTGTATACACATGCTCACACACACACACTCAAACATGCACACTCAAATGTGTATACACAAGCAGGCACACACATCCACCATCCAGTTTGTCTTTGAAAAACATTCCATCAACCACGCCCCTCAGATGCTTTAGAAACTAAGTCTGCCGTATGTCCACACTGGCTGTGCACAACACTACCCGGGAACCTTTTCAATGTGATCCAGCTGGGACAACTGGTGTTCCATAGTGGCTGTTCAATAAACAGTACCTATTTTTTGTATTATTTTATTAATACAGACTTGCTTATAGTTTTCGTGTAATTCGACAATGACGTGAGCACTTCGGTGGCCGTTCCTGAGAATAAGCAAGTTACAGGAAAACATTTACCCTCTGCACTCGCGGCGCCTTTCTGAAGGTGGGACTAGTCGGCCGCGTTTATCGCAGTTAATCAGTTCCAGACTCCACCGCGATAAATGAATTTCCACGAAGCAGGATTCTTTATTTACTATAAGTCACGCCTCGCCACTTCGCACTTCGACTTCCACGGCTTCAGTCTATCACGGTTTTTTCAAGTATAGTGTAGTGTAGTGTAGTGTAGTGTAGTATAGTGTAGTACAGTGTAGTGGAGTGGAGTGGAGTGTAGCATTTGAATAAACCCTGATGGAGTGAGCCGTGGAAGTTGAAGCGCAAAGTGGTGAGGGGCGACTGTATTTTATGTCATAACTACAACAAACTTACCAATGGATTCTCCAGTCAAAGAGACTTGCACATTTTTAACTTTGTTAAGCTTTATCTAAGACGGTCAATGGATGATTGGAAATGCAGGTGAACGAAAAGGCCCCGTGAAAAGCAGCAGATGTAGGACAGGCTTCCCCGAGGACTGACGGGGTCCCCCAGCTGCGACAGACCCCGGCACGCCCCACTGCACCCTCGGCTCTGAGATGTGGACTAGGTCCAGGGAGAGGAAAAGCCCAGACACCTGCGAATGCACGCGCCTCCTGCTTTTCCTTCAGGTGCTGCGTGTTCTTAGCTTCAGTGTGCACACGGTACTTACTGGTACACATTTATAAAGAAGTTGTTTTTTTTTTTATTTGCCTAATGGTTAAAGTATTTGAAAGAAAATTTTACCTACAGCCGATTTCCAGATATTTTACCATATGCACTAATTTCGAAATGCATCCTCTATTTCCTCCTCCTCCTTAGAAGTCCAATAGTTTTAGTTAAGTGAATGTCATCAGGTGCACTGCACTTATTTTTATCTCTGTAAGCCCACTGCATTTACAGAGGTGGCTTTGGCGGAGGAACTCCATGGCCACAGTTCAGTCTGCCAGAGGGCAGCCCTGCCCCCTGTTTCCTGTGCATGGAATTCTCACTGAGTGAACCTCTCCAGCCCAAGGGGCAGCTGAGCACCTCGAAAAGTGCTCATTACTCTCCCTTCTGAGCTGGGAGACCCCGCAGAGGAGCACCAGGAGGCAGAGCGCCCAGGGGCTAAGACCACGAACTCTGCTTTGCCGCCCTGAGCAGCCGTCATTGAAGGAAAGGTGCTTCTTTTGCCACCTCCTAAGTGAAACAATATCCTAACGATACTGACTCTGAAAACTTTTCTTCCACAGAGACATTTTCAAAGCAACAGAGAGAAAGTATCCCCAGGTCCCCGCACGCACTCCTGACGCCCTGCAGATCACGCAGGGATGGCAGGTGAGGAACCGGACCCTGGATGCCCCACACCCAACCTGCGCTCAGGCCTGGATGGTGGCCTACACAGTGCCACCCGCTGTAAAGGGAAAGGAGATGGGACAACGGAAAAAAAGGAAATTGCTATGGACACCAGATTTTGAATTATTCATAAGCAATTAATTAGCAACAGAAATGTTCATAGTAGCAGATACTTTTTATGCAGCATAAGGGTTCTGTAAACATTTGTTTGCTCAACAAATACATGCTATGAATTCATTACGTGCTAGGTATTTAACCCTGTTTTCAAGGAGCTTACATTCTGATGGGATGAGTAAAAAAGAAAATAAAAAATAGTTTCAGAAATAGAAAATCTGTGCTTATTAAAGAGAAATTTATTGTTAAAAAGAAGCCATGACTCGGCCGGTATGGCTCCGTGGATGGAGTGCGTCCCATGAACTGAGAGGTCCTGGTTCGATTTCTGGTCAGGGCACATGCTCACATTGCAGGCTGGATCCCAGGGCGGGGCATGCAGGAGGCAGTCCATCATGTTTCTCACATCAATGTTTCTACCTCCCTCTCCCTTCCACTATCTCTAAAAAAAAAATCAATAAAAACATATTTTTTTTAAAAAAGAAAACCAACTTCAACTTGAACATCATTTTAATAGTTTTTAAAACTTTAGGAAGAATAACTCTTGCAAAATGAAAACCAAACAAACAAAAAAAACCTGGTGGATTTCCTAGTAAGTTCACCTTTCATAGTAAGTACTTAATTTGAAATATTTTATAAATCTTTATGACTATGCATACATTAATACTTTCTTTCTGTGATCACCCTCGACACTTCTTTTCTATGAAGCAGGACTTCAGGAACGAATCCAGGTTTACGACCAGAATGTGGAGGACCTCGTGCGGGAGGGCTGGCTATGTCTGCAGCTGCTTATGGTGGGCTTCCGTCTCCTGAATGCAGACCCCGGAAAAGGGGTGCCCCTGAACTCGCATGCTTTAGAATAAATGGCAATTGTTACATCTCCTTACAATTTGATTCAGGAAAACTACAGACAAAAGTAAACACTGTTAAAGAAAGACAAAATGTGAAGAGAAAACATTAGAGTAAACAAAATAATTTCTTACAGGAGGTCTAAAGAAGACCTATTTAAAATCAAGTATTAAAGAGCTGAAAAGGATGTTGATGAATTCTGATCATCCTTAGTATTTGTCTTTGTTAATTTTTAAAATATCTTTCTACTAAAAAATGGATTTAACTAAGCTTACAATTAAAAAAACATAGCCCTGGCTGGTTTGGCTCAGTGGTTGGAGCGTCGGCCCGCGGACCAGAGAGTCCCGGGTTCCGTTCCTGCTGGGGACACGTACCTCAGTTGCGGTTTGTCCCAGGCCCCAGTTGGGGTCGTGTGGGTGGCGACCACTCAATGTGTCTTTCTCATGTTGATGTTTCTCTCTCTTCCTCCCTCTCTTCTCCTGTTCTAGCTGAAGATGAATGCAAAAAGAATAAAAATAAAAAAAACATAAATACAACCCAATCCAAAGATACAGCTGCTGAAAACGGTGATGACTGTGTATTTTTATAATTTAACATGATTTAGTTATGTTAAAAATAAGGGCAAAGCACAAGTACTATATGAGTCTATGTTGGTGAAGGTATATATATTTAACCTACACGTGTATATAAAAACACACACATTTTATAAATCATAAATACACAAATTGGTTTCAATTGTACATTATTTTTCTACAATATATCATGCCATCTCACAAGCCTGAAGTTGTAAAATGTGTGTTTACGTATATTACACATGTTTAATGTGTTTCTATCTTACACACATGTGAACATGTGTTAGCAGTAACTTTGGTGAGATTATGAGACGTTCTCTTTCTTCTATTCACATTTCTAAAATTCTATAATCACAGTAAACAGCAATAACTCTTAACTTAAACGTCGGGGTCTTTCTCCCACTTGACCACATACCAGAAGATGCCTGTGCAGTCCTGTGGCCTGGCCCGAGAGCTGCAGACCCTCCCCGCAGCTCCAGCTGGCACTGGCCCCAGCTCACGGGGGAAGCCCCTGCTGCTCCCTCGGACCCTCCCCGCAGCCGCAGCTCCAGCCGGCACTGGCCCCAGCTCACGGGGGAAGCCCCTGCTGCTCCCTCGGACCCTCCCCGCAGCTGCAGCTCCAGCCGGCACTGGCCCCAGCTCACTGGGGAAAGCCCTGCTCCATCTGCAGACCCTCC